GCTTTCGAACTTGGCACTAGACTTTTTGCGATATGGTGTAACTATACACGTTCAACAATGTTAAGTAGAAGTGAAGTTGCTCGTTTTTTCCGACATACCATCGGAAATAATTTTACGCGTCCGATGAGAATCTAGCTACAGACAGCTGTCAGTTGCTCTTCTTTAGGCTGACTCCTACTAGTCTATTTTTCTGTTGGTGCGTCAAATTTGGTTGTTGGTTGATTTTCATAGCGGATCCTTACCGCCAGTTAAAATTAAATATGTTCTTTAAAGCGTGGGAACAGTAGTAATAATAATATATATTTCGTATAAACGGGTAAGTTTACATGAAATACATGCCATTTTTACTGGCACGATCAATTATGCTACGAATAACAATTGTGAATTAGCATACATTATCACTTTTTTTTAAAAAAGTTCAAATTGTTGAATTACAGTGCAAGCAATCGGAACAGATTCTTATGATTGTTAATTTGTAAATCTTTCACGAAGATCTCCATCGAAGTTGAGCGATAACCCATACTTCGCTCCATTTCCTGGTGATAGTAATGACCTATCGATAAACAACGTATATGTGAGTTAGTACTGTGATGGACTCACTTTGTAAAATGATGACAAGCTATTGCAGCAGAGCCCAAGGGTTGTAGTTGCAAGCATATTGTGATAAGGACCAACTGTGAAAATACGTGACAGTATGGGAATGTATGTGTGAACTAGGTACATGAGGTAGTGCCATTGATGTTGCTGAAGTGGTGTGATTCATAATTCAACAACGTTAACACATGAAATTAGTGATCTTCTGAAAAGATCATATATGATCTTAAAGGGAGAAAAGATTGGTGGCAAGGGACAAGTTGCCAGATTGCTCAGACATATTAAAAAATAAATTGAAATTCTAGTTCGTCCACAATGCGCACAGATCCTACTAATTACCTATCAACGCTAATCTGTGCACTTCAGGAACTAATTTTTCTATTTTTTAATTTTGATAAGAGCTTGATGCCACACCGTATTTTTAGTACAAGTATGGAATTTTCAGCATGGATATCGGTAGCCCAAATTTTGCAGGCCGACCATTGATATTGGGTGTACGATGGCAGGGGGTCGAACCCCGGACCATGTGCATGGTCGGCGAGAGTCCTAACCACTGTGCCACCGACGCACTAATGGTTCATTTGAGAGTGGAAATAATTTTGAGATCACTCAAGCAAAATGTCTCCAGGATTAATCTACAAAAGAAAAACCATTCATCGTGGATGCATAAGTGGAAATACTGTAAATATATGCCTTTACATATCAATATGATGATGAAGTATCACGTTTAACTGCAACATCAGGATTTAGTGTCCTTTTAAGAGCTGACAGAACTATTTAACCGTTTTTGAGATTTTTTGAAGAATTTTCATGATTTAAAACTTGAAGCTTCATAATGAGAATTAAAATTATATCCAGCGACTAATAAGATGGTTTATTTTATAATAAAATGTCAAATGACCATAATATATGATGATCCCAACTGCACAACTAAATTGCTTATTTCCACAAATCTGTGAAAGCTGTTTAAACAGACACCAATTAGGCGCAGTAGATCTTCATTGGAATAAAAGGAACTGAACACACTAAAACATGCAAAAAGCTGATCACCTAATAGCTCAAATACCAGACCAGTCCACGAAAAGGAATGACCAGTCGATAAAACAACACACTGATAATGTTGAACTAGTCAGTATCATATTTCATCCAGTGATAGAAATGAAAAATGTAAATGGCCTTAGCGCTTGTAGTGATCTGGGAAGTTGATTCGACTGCTACAGACCATAAATCAGAATAAATTCACTACGTAGTCTCAACAAGGACTAAGAAGCCCGTCATATAGTACCTAAAGGTTACTGTCGTGATGTCTTCAATATGTTGCCAGAAACCTCTAGTTCAGGCATCCAGACCACATTTTAATTAACCTTGTGGGGTATAATTCTGTGCAAACCTAGATAGCTCAATAAAGGTGCAGGGCAACACACTATAGGAAAAGTTATTCTTCTACCTTTCTGTTACCTAATGTTCACTTTCGTTCATGTCTGCATAAATCTGGATGTATTTGTCCCACAATCAGATGGATGTACGTATATTTTTACTCGCCTCTGTCAATTTATCACGAGGTCTGGCGGAGTGCCCAGTGATTTCAGATGCCTATCTTCCACAACAACAGACTTTTGAGGGCAAACCGATCGAATTGCACCATCGTCTCAAATAACAAGCTAATGAGAGAATATCCACTGGTGCTGAAGGCTGTGACAGACATTGCTTATGAGGCAGATGTTCCAACCCAGGTGGTTCGGTAAATTGCCACTGTCTTCTTATCCTATACGCGTAATCGATCATTAGATTGGGTAGTTATTTTTATACCAGATTTAGCCACTAAGGTGTTCTCAAAACATCTTCAAGTATTTGTTTAACGTTCATATGGACTTGTTGTGACTGCTTGTATTATAACTCACTGATATAATATTGACTTACTGATATTTTCCGATTGTGATTTATATCATGCTTGATCGTGCCTGTAAACATGCCAAGCATTTCATGCAAACTTACCTGTTTATGCGAAATATAAGTTATTGTTAATAATTTTACGTTGCAATCTGTCTGAAGAAGTGCCTTCTCTTCGTTCATTTCTTTAACTTCTGCGTAGAGACAGTGATATTTTCCGGAAAAATTTCCTCATCTCCCTGTGCAGCATTTTCGAAACAAACGTGTTCTTACTCAGTATCCCTTACTTCACTTTTCAGTGCGAATGTCTATGCGTATTTAACAGCTATTTTAAGTAAATATTTATTCTCGTATAAGTTTTCAGCTCTTCTTTTTTTCTTTCATACAAGGTGGCCAATAGACAAGTAGAGAAAGACGTATTGGTTTCATAGGAAGAACACCTCCCAGAAGTAAAGGGCACCGATAACTTTACTTTAGTCAGCGAACCGGTGGCAAGTTATTTGGAAAGTCAACGCAAGAGAAGTTCTACAAACATTGCAGAGACTAGGTTTTTACCTCTGGTTGTTTAAGAAGGAGCAAGCTGTAACGGTAAAAAACAGTCGGTAGTTTATAGCGTTGTAACCATTCTAAAACGGTTGCTACACCTCATTATTGCAGTAAAGCCGTGTAGTTTAGTACTGTGTCGCTTTCTGGTACGCTGTCTTAGTACTGTTATTGTTCTTTCGCGAAATATGGTTACTTCAGGCAACACCGCTTGTATTTTCCGTATTTCAGAGTGTCCATTAGTTCTTCTCTGTCTTGAAAATTGCTTTACGGTAGTCACCAGAATGACACATCTTAGATGAAAGTTAGGAACCGTTAAGTGCATTCATCAATGTATCTCTCACTTCGCATACCGCACGAAGTTAGATGTCTTGAGATGAGTTAAAACCACCCTTCACGACAACGTGACACGCAGCCACTCATTAGGCTTGCAGTGCAGATACCATGAAAGCAGTAGTTTTCAAGTAATGTGAAATTACAGGAAATTCGTAGTTATTATTCAACATTTGGTGACAATCTTTGGGTAGATCACTAGATGTACACAGAAAAAATGTCAGTAAATTATAATGAATTTACTTCATTTTCAATCAAAATTACCTAATATCAACGAATTCAAAGTGCAGAAATCGTTTGATCGCTATATTTATACCGCATAGTTGCACATATCATACTAGCCACTTTACTTGTTTTAGCGTACGACATGATCATCACGGTATGACCTTGAAACAGGCGCCTTGCTTGGAGTAAGCAAATGTAAGTCAGATTTATTTCAAGTTTAGTGAGTAGTCAATTCGCTATAAACATTAATTGGAGCGTTATGTTTGTTTACTTAGTTTCCTTTTTTACTGACTGCTTTTTTAATGCAATATATCCCTATTTTTTATTGCGAATCTGAAATCTGTTTTTTTGTTGTTATCTTGTAGGTTATTTTGTGAAGTGAATATAATCTTATTACCTAATTTGACCGCTTATTTTCTTACGTTGACTTGAAAAATATGCGAATCGATTCACAATATTATCTCATGATTTACCAACCTGTGAACAATTTGGTGCCTTGTTTAATGATAATTTTTCAGTGATATGCGTGGGAATTACCACTCAGGTTAGTTGAATCTGTCTTTGTCTAGCAACTCGAAAGCTTTTCAGAATTTGTTGTGTATAATCGTAAGATATCTTATTTAACATGCTGTGTCGTTTCTTCATATATAGTGGTTAAATACTCCCTCATTTACTGAATTTTGTTATTGCATGAAAAGAAATGTTGTTAAATTTGAGACGTAGTTTTTACTCGGTATCTGATATCTTGACTGGAATTTAATATTTCTGTAAAGTCAACTAATAAAACAACTAGCCATAACAGAACATTTCAGAATAATTCCCTTGAAACAATAAATATGGGTTTTAATGTAACATAAACCTAAATAACCCTGTGATTATTTAGTCATCAAGTAAGACTTCATACTGTTGACTAATATACAAGTGAATTGACTTTGTTTTATCTTGAGTTGACAAAACTACTATTATGTGTACATTGTCAATTTGTATGTTCACCTGGACTTAGTGTTGACTTACCAAGAGTTTAAAGAATACACGTTTACAAACTCGGTTGAACTACTTTATTTAGGACTTTCTAACTACTATAAAACACGTTAAGTGTTCGTGTTGAAATTAAATTTATTCCTTTGATAGAGTCACTAATACACTAATAATATCGATTCTAATCTACGTCATTTAGTTTTTACCTCCATATTTTTTCCGAACTCTACTGAACAACATCAAGGGCAGGTCTATTTTCCACGTAGTACTGTCCCACTAATTTTTGATAATTGAGAGAGACGATGACTTTTCTATTAGTCAATATGTATATGAAATGTTTAGTGTATGAATAACTTGATCATTTTTGTCTTTAATAGTTAAACGGTGAAAAAGACTTCTGTGCCTGTTTAAAACATCTTGATCAATCGTGTGTATGAATGGATCACAAAGAATCTAACAGAAGAATTGGAGCTCTGAAATCTACGTCTTCTCTTGTGGAACTAACCAGTAAATCTGGTGATTATGCTGCTCATCCACCATTTACAAAAGGTGCGTCAACTGGAACCTATGCACCTATAAGGTCATCTGATGGTTGTTCGCCAAGTACATTTAGTTGTCAATTACCACGAACATCTCCCGAGTATTCAACAACATCTTCAAACCCATCTCGTGCTGCATTTCTTTCACGTCAGGCATCTTTTGATCAAGGTGGTGAGGGTCGTCTTTCTTCAACTCAAGTAAGTTCACTAGTTTTCAAGTTTCTAATATGGTTTCTGCTGTACGATAAGTATAAGTAGAAGATGTATGTTTTAGGTTTAGTAGATTTGGTTTCCTGCTCAAAAATAATTCATCCGTTGAATTCCTAACTTGATGCATAAATAAAAATTTATATTTCATTTGAAATATTCTTACTTTCTTGTGGGTAGAACGAAACTAATCATTAAAGTATTTAGAATTTTATTCTGGTTTCTGTTACTCCACCATTGACTGACTGACTGAGTTTCAACATAAAACTGTGCACAGAAGCGAAGCAGTTCAAGTTACCGCACTCCATATAGTACACAAGTAGAAAAAAGAAAGGAAAAAGAGATTCAAAAAACTGTTATGAACAGGAATAGACGGTGGAGAGAATAGTAGTATGGAAAACCGTTAGTGTTTAGTGAATTTGGGCGATCATAAAAAGTGAATACGTTTGCTTGGTTGTAAACTGTTTCCAGCCATAACATCACCAGTTGCTAGCCACTGATTCATCACAGCATCCAGAATATCCTTACTTACAAGTCTACACCTTTCTACTTGGCTCAAACCAACTGTGACATACCTTATGGATTGATTCCAATTGTCGGTTTGACTATTGCTAAATATGTTTCATCTCAACCTTATGTCAGCTAACATTGCTCGGCGAGGAAGACGTTGGCTCGGAATGCGCAACACGCATCCTAGCCATCTCACTCAATGTAGTTTCACAACCTCATCGATTGACTTCCCTTCCTTACTTAGCAGTCTATGCCTAACTCACACATTACTGACCGTATAATGTTACTTGACCTGGGATATAGAATGCAAGCGCCTTCAGTCAAAGACATCTGGCTTCCTCATATCTTTCAGTTTCAATGACCACATCTCACAGACATAAAAGAGGATGGAGTGAACTGCTGCTGTGCAGTACACATGTCCTTTAGTCGATAACCAGATGTCACGTCTACACTAGAGATTACGTAAGTTAGCAAGTGCTGCGCGAGTCTTTGTTTCCTTGCTAAGGTTTTGCCAGCAATCAACCCGTTGGGTCTGATGCAACTTCCAAATAGATGATGTGGTCAACACGCTCCACCACTTCACTCCCTATCTCTAAGCTAGGAGTCGGTGTAGTCCAGCCCTTCAGTACCATTGCGCATTTGGCAAGGTTGCATGGCATATTAAACATACTAAAACTTTTGCTGAAGGTGTGCAGAAGACTCCGCATTTTGCCAGTATCTTGATCTAGGAGGACAATATAATCGGCATACTCTAGGTAAACAGGACTGTTCCTTGGTAACAAGTCAATCCCTAAGTCGCTAAGGTCAAATAGGGTCAATTCCATTAGTATATATTTGATGAAATTAAACGAAAATAGAGATAGTGGGCGTATCTGACGTATACTACCAATTTTCATCACTTCAGACAACAATCCTCCGTAAGGTCTTACACGACATTGTGAATTCGAGTAGAGTGCCTTGATTAGTGTGATATATATATATGCTTCGTTCTACATCTGACTGAAGTTATGCTATTGTAAAATACATCTGATATACTAAGATTTGAATTATGAAACGGGTGCAAACCATTACCAGTTTTCTTGTTCACTAAACTTCAACCCTTCCAAGCACCCAATGGGCCAGGTAAAGCATTGGGGATTTTACAAGATTTTTTTTGTGTCAAGAAAGGTTTTTCCTGGTATTCAAACGTATTCTTTTCTGAAGTTTACTACAAAAAGTAGTCCAGTGTGTGCTTTGTTGGCATTCCATGTAGCCTTCATCTATGATTACTGGCATATTTATTGATCATGAATGACTTACCGGTTTTCTTTGGCGTGCCTTTATTCGCGGGGCTTATGCTTCAAGTAGAATGAAGATCCACACTTATAGAAGGCAAAATATGAACCTAGTGTATCGAGTACACGATACATTTAAAAAGAAAGTTGAACTTAGCCATTAGGACTGCTCATATTATTATTATTCCCTTGGGTGCCGGTTGAAACATAAAGCTTCCATAGTACATCTTCATTTCATCCTGTTCTCTGAAGTTTTCTTTAGGTGGCCCTAGGATTATCTACAAGTTGTCATCTCCCTCACACGACCTCCTCCATGTCACCATCGGATGCTTAACTCACTGCTTTCCACTCGGTTTCCACTTGAGTAATGACGTGGCGCGTGATATCACTCATCAGCCTTCTCAGCATTTGTCTGATCCATCGGCATATTTATTGGGCTGTAGATTCCTGGTTGGTTCATTCCTAGAGTTCACTGTTGCTAATCCTTTCCGGCCGGCTAACTGATCTTGAGTATCAAGCGAAGGCAGCTGTTGATAAAATTCTGCAGGGTAACCTGTCGGAAATATTTTCTGTGATGTGCTTAGTCTGTGAAATGTGTAGAAGAACTGACTTACTTGACGGTGGTGTTGAAAATCCGAATCTGCTCTCTGCTAATTGCAGCAGATTTCCGCACTGATCTCAGAATAATGAATGTATCTCTTGCTTTTCTGGTCCTGCGTTTGACAACCTCATCCGCACCGCTTATAGTTGGAATGATGCTTGTAAGCGCAATATCGCTTGAAATTAAGTCACGCGTAGATAAAGGCTATCCCGGTCCAGAACAAACAAGAAGCCGGTCACTGTTTCTACGGTACTATTAATAAACAAATCAATATATATATATATATATATATATATATATATATATATATATACAACAAACCTTAACGGTTTCAAGAGTACAAAACACAACGCTTAACAGAAAGCAAAGTACCGCTATCAGAGCGAAATAACGTTAAATAAGTGAAGAAAGTGATCTCATTGAAACTCCTGCTGTTTAGGGTGATCAGTTCTTGGTGTTGTTGTTGGTTGTGGGGTATCTTCCTCACCTCCGTCTTATCTGTGTTCACTTAAAATCCTATCTTTACTGTCTGCCTTCTTGTGCCAACTTGTTGGTTTTCGGCTGTAGATCTTCGAGTTTGTGTGACATTAGACATTAGAAATCATCAGCAGCAATATGTCCAGATCTTCTCAAGTCTTCTTATCGGTCCAAAGTCTATGCCTTTTTTTTCTCACTAGCCATGATCTTCCACATGTTAATATTAATGCATGCTAAGTACTAATCATACTTTACATTCATTTGTTTTTTTGATGTATCCTACATTTTCACATTTCCATGGAGCTAGACACAGTTGTAATTTTCAGACTAAGTTGAAACACCTCACATCACCATAGTAACAGAAATGAAAATGGAAAAATATTGTTTCAAAAAATAATAAAATAATGATATCCATAATGTTACAATGAAACCTGGATACTTTGGTAGATAGATAGGTGAATTTATTTGTCATTTGGGAATAAATGTATCACTGTGTGCTATACATAACACGAAAATAACGCAACTTGGAATTACAGTAAAATGTTAGTGAAGTGAAGTGAAGAGATGCTAATGAGGGTAGGAAATAAAATATGTAGAATAACAGTATGCTCAAAATTTATGAAGGATTATGTCATGAGGGTACCAGTGCCTATATTACTACTACTACTACTACTACTACTACTACTATTACTAGTATCATCCACCCTCGCATTTTTGTTCTGGGTGAGCATTGCTGAAGACTCCTAAAATGGGATTAATAGCTGTCTGTTGTTAGCTAGTTAGGGACAGTCGTTAGGAAGCCTTGCTCGACGTAGACTTCGTGCCCGTTGACACTCATCACTCAGAAAAGCGTATCTGCAGTCTTGAAAGAACAACTCATTTCCCTTCTGAGATTTGAACCTGGGTTACCCATTGCTGCAGTCAGAGATGTTACCACTGGGCTATTCGGACTCACGATTATCTTCCTGTGGGACTGTAATGGATAATTTGATTGGAAACTAGGTAGTAAGTAACTAGTGTCATGTGTGTCCAGTCCTTGGTGTTTGCACAGACTGAATTTTATCAGTTGAGTTTGCAATATGGCATGTACGGAGTAGTCGATGGGAAGCCTCGCTCGATTTAGGTTCCATGCTGGTTGGCACTTGTCAGCTCTTCAGTGCTACTCGATTTTCTGTGGCAGTCTAATTGTTATTGATTTGTGATGAAAACAACTTTAAAATCCGTCAATTCTTCACCGACATCTAGGATATTTTGACTGTGGTGGAATATCCGAGCCTGATTTCTGAAGCTTTTCATGTTTTACTCTCCGTATACTATTTACTTAGTATTATTTATTGTGGAGTTTATTAAAGTTAGTTTCCTAGGCATTCCTTTGCATAACCCAAAATCCTTCCTCTCTCTCTCTCTCCCTCTCTTTCAGGTTAAACAACGTTTAAAGGCTTATCTGCTTAATCGTCGGCGTGGGCGTGTCCTTGCTAACAGACACTGGAGAGCAGATGGTAAAGTATGCGGCTCATCACAAAATCCCTTCACCGAATCAGACTTTGATGAAAGTTTAGAACACTCAGGAAGTGAATCATGTCAACAAGGAATGTGTCATATAGGTGATCACTGGCACAGTGCTGACTCTCCAGGTTTCAGTGAATGGGATTTAGGTATGTTAGACTTTCACTTTTCCATTTGTTTTTCTTTGTTTGATTTTTGCTTTCACTTGAAATTCTTTTTCTTTCGGGACAGATTGTCACAACTATCCCAATTGTTGCAAAGGTGACTCTAACTGCATGTAGAAACGTTGGTAGTTTATTCAGAAATAAAATTTCAGTTTCCCAGGTTTCTATTTTTGTTCGTTTTCAGAACATATCCGCTTAGGTCAAGATTAATGACACCTTACCTTGTCCTATTCCCCAGCCCCACCTACTTACTTAAGCAAGAACACACAACGACGTGAGCCGAAAGTATATTTCAATGTCAGCCATAGTATATATTTCACAAAAAAAACCAAGGATATGTCAATTAGTCTATAGTCATGATAGATAAAATAGTGGGCATTATTTTGCGTCGGTCGATTCTGATTGGTTTATTTCCGGGCTGACCTTGATCACCATATCACCAATAAAGGATACTCTATTGTTTATCTATTTACACATCACCATGTTACTATTTTTTTTCTGTGCTTTGAAGTTTAACGGAAGACGGGGTTGTCTTTGTGGGGTGGCTTTTCTAGTCTGTATTCTTTCCTATTTATTGTAGGGTTGGGGGTTAGGGACAGTAGAAACCAACAAGATTGTTACCATGATAGAAGTAGTTGAATAATTTTCTTTTGTATCCATAGCTCTGGTTTCTCTAACTGGATGGCTTAAGTTTCAGCGATGCAAAAGAGCAGGTTATTCTTAAATTTGTAGATTACTTTGAAGGAGAAAACGTTCGTCATGTTGGAATTACCAACACTGTTGCCAGTTTACGCCGTCTCTGGCGTATACGTGATATCCGACTATCGACCAAAGGGCGTGTGTACTGCTCAACAGTCCGATCAGTCCTCCTTTATGGCTGTGAGACCTGGCCATTGAGGGCGGAAGACATGAAAAGATTAGCTGTCTTTGATCATAGGTGCCTGCGTTCTATCTCCCGTGTGAAGTGGTATAATAAGGTGAGCAATATTGAGGTAAGGCTTCGGTCGAGTGTTAGGTAAGGCGGGGAAATCAATTGACGAGGTTGTGAAATTACATCGACTGAGATGGTTAGGACATGTCCTACGTATGCCTAGTCATCGCCTTCCTCGATGGACGGGCAATGTTAGCTGACATAGGGTCAGGCTGGAAAAGAGCTAGCGGCGGTCAAACGAAAACGTGGCACCAGTCAATGAAATCTACAATAGTTAGTCTAAGCCACGTAGGAAGGTGTAGACTGGCTTCTTGGTTGGAGTCCTCGGGACGGTAAAAACCGATGGTTGGAAACAATTGTTGACATGGCTCAAAATCGTTCTCAATGGCTGGTGCAGATGCATCCACTCCTTGTGACTTATGATTTCCAATTAAACTGTTTTGATCTTCGTTACTACTATTCCTTTGTCTCACACCTCTGTTTACTGTCTATATTATGCATTTCTCCTACTTTCTTCTCTTCCTTTGTGTGCTACATGAAGGGAGTGTGGCGACTTGAACTGCCGCACATATGTGCAAAGTTTTATGTCGAAAACAGACAGACAGACAGACTGTTTTGCATATTATTAAGTCAGTCCCCACTACAACTCACTCATTAAATTATCCAACTTATTAAGTAACCCTAGTACACTTATTAAACTCCTCTTGTGCATTGACCAATATTAACCAGTGTGATTATGACAACGCATCACTTTTGTTACTGCCCTCTTCCATGGAAAAGGAGATTGTGCAGCTAAAGAGGAGAATTGAATTCTCCGAAAAGAGCCTCTACGTGTTTTGTTTTCGCTAATCTCTGGCTAGATGGGGATTATTCATAACAACTAGGCATAAAAGTCATCATTTCAAATTATGATATCTGTTGGCATCCATCAGTAATAAGATTCATTGGATATTGAATGATTGACTAGGGTTTAGAAGAATTAGACTTAAAAAAATAAGTATTTCTCTTTGACTAAGTCTATATAAGCGTAGACCGACTGTTTATGCATTTAACATTATTATTATTATTATCCGACTAGGATGGTGTATTTGTTTAATCCAGAATATGCTTTCATTCATCAGATTCACTTCTACATATAATACTGTTAGGCAAGCATATCCATTTATGTTATAATTATAGCAGTAAAGCTGATAATCAATACATTTTATTATTTTCATACCTTAAATATGATTGTATGTAACAGTGTGTGTGTGTGTATGCATTTGTATGTGTGTACGTGTGTGTGAGTGCGTGTGTATCTCAATGCCTATGGGTGTGCAAACTAATTAATTGTTTTCGACATCTATTTTAAGCAAGTTATAGTTAATCATCATTAGAGTAGTAGTTGCTGGTGTTGTTGATCGCCTTGGCGATGCCACAACTGGGAAATGATAACATGTTTTGTATTTTTAGCAGTGTAGTAACCATGTGAGCCTCAATATATGTATATATGTATATATATATATATATCAGAAAAGATGATTTATTGAGCAAACAATTGTTTTTAATAACTGCATTTTCTATAGTTGGTTTGTAAGAGTTAGTTTTATTTTTACGAGTTGATCACGGATTGATATCAGTTAGAGAACCATTGAAAACCAGCCACATGGAGTACTAGACAGCTGTTTCATCCTAGTTTGGGAATCATCGGCAGTACGCACCACCTACCATCACGGTTAGAGCCCAGGACCTTCTGGTCACAAGGCGAGCTAGCTCGTATACCATTAAGCCACTGGGACCCGATTCAATGGCCAGCCAGTGCATGAACTCTAACTTCTACCAATTCGTGATTTAGCGCAACCTTTACAAACCAACTATAGAAAATTAATCTGATGGTCGCTGGTGACTTAATACAGGACGGAGTTCTGTGAAGTTCTAGTGAGAAGTCGTGACCAGTGAGGTCCATCTAGATGCCACGTTAGAGGATGGATGTCCCACCGACAACATTGGTTGAGGTTGCGCTAAATCACGAATTGGTAGAAGTTAGAGTTCATGCACTGGCTGGCCATTGAATTGGGTCGCAGTGGCTTAATGGTATACGAGCTAGCTCGCCTTGTGACCAGAAGGTCCTGGGCTCTAACCGTGGTGGTGGGTGGTGCGTACTGCCAATGATCCTCGAACTAGGATGAAACAGCTGTGCAGTACTCCATGTGGCTGGTTTTCAATGGTTCTCTAACTGATATCAATCCATGATCAACTCGTAAAAATAACTGCATTTATGAATCCATGAATATATTAGAGGACAAATAACCAGTAAAGGTAAAGGAAAATTATATCAGAAACTGTATTGTTGGGTTACATGTATATCATGGAATGATAATCCGTTAATTGATACTGTCAACTCAATATATATATATATACATATATATATATATATATATATATAATGAACAGTCGATCAAAGTGGAATAAAGTATGAATAGACAACTGGGTGATATATTAATATATTTATGGTTAACAGAATATAGGTTTCTTTGAGGAGGGGTGGTGGTGAGTTATATCCAATGATGTGACAGTAATGTGATTACTACAAAAGACATAGAAACACATGCCAATAAACGCGGAATACTGGATGTAAGTTCAAGAGCTGTTAGGATAACAAGTGTAATGATAAAATAAAGTGGTTAAATTGTGGACTGTAATAAAATTCTAGAGATATGATAAACTTAGTGTAAATGACAAAAGTTGTGCGTTGGTGATTTAGTGGTGGTGAGCACGCTCTCCAACCATGTCTCACGTGGTCCAGGCGTTCAATCCCCGGCCGATGCACTCCTAAACTTCTCTAAGTTAGCAGTAACTCCATAATGGATAGGATTTTATTTTAATAAATCACACAGTGTTGTACAGTTAATTTAACTGTACAACACTGTGTGATTTATTAAAATAAAATCCTATCCATTTTGGAGTTATACTGTACCACAGTGCCCAAGTTTTATACTTATATCAAGTTAGCAGTAAGGCTGGTAAAGAGGGAAGATTGTGCATGAAGCTAGCAAACCATCCATCCTAGTAAAAATAAAACAACTGCTACAGGAACTTCAAAGCTCTTCCTTGAAGCCCTCCCTGTATTCTACTCGGAATGTAAAGGAATAAAATAATCAATAAGTAATAATAATAATAAATTACAAAAGTTGACACATAATAATAGGGATAATAACCGAGTGAAGTGAACTAGGTAAAAGGGGAATAAGAAAGACATAATAATATACGATGAAAATATATTTGTTGATTATGTCGCTGTGATGATCTTATCATAGACCAGAGGAGGATGAATGTACTATTTTTCACATGTCGGTCAGGTTGCTTCTTCTTAACCTCTGTGGCTTCAGTTATGGCTAAGATATGTAACCGTGTGCCTTTCAGCAGATTTTTCAGTACTCAACACACAGTCGTAAATGACTCATCTATTTTGATGTTGGTGTTCATTATCCACTGCATGAGATAAAATGTCACTATTGATTGATTTATAGCTACTCTTTTACCAGGCCGAAACGGAAACATGTTCAATGAGTGCGTAAAGATAAATTTCTGTGAGTTCGATCTACATAACTAGCTCCGTAGGTGCAGTTGAATTTTTTTCCACACATTGATTTGGCCATTTTGGGTAATTCATCTTCAGTGCACTGTATCAGTATCAGTCTGATTGAGGAATTGATGTGTATTTCTGAAGCACTGAAAGTTTTTTTTTCAGTTGATCTGATCTATTATTCACAGTATTCTTGAATCATAATCAATACTACTCAAAAGTCACCATTTTCTCGTTAAATAGTCTATAAATATCTCCAGTGAACATTTATAATCGGTTCACTATAATTAGATTTGATGAATACGATTTTATCCCTGACCAAAATAAAGATTAGCGACCGAGAAGAGCGAACGCATCAATGACCTGCTAAAGGAGTCCGCTTATTAATTCAGATCAAGGTAGTGAGACGAGGTAAACATGAAAACCCAGCATATTTGTAAAAAAAATGATAATAATCATAATAGTGATTTGATTATGATACAACGTGGA